TCGACCCATCCGGCTTTAATCTTTGGTCCTTCAGAGCGGTAGGTTGCCACCTTAACCGCTCGGCCATCCGACCGTAAAAATATATTTCAACATTAAAGTAATCAAAATAGCAAAAAGATTGGACAGTTTAAAGTATTCTTTGACTTATAAAGTTTTCGAAGATTATGTAAAAATGTTTAGGGACATAGCCAATGACATTAATTTTCGTTTGTAAATTTAAAGAATTTCATTAAGATTTTTAATTATTACTTTATAAAACAGAGGACAAATAAAACGTAAACATTACATTATGTCATTACATATTCACTGTTTGGCACAATGTGATTCTGTGAATTATCGTTTTTATTTTCATTGTGAAGTAAGTTTCTTCCTAATCTTTCGAAATTATTGATTTACGATTCAAAACAATAACGCTCGTGTAAAGTTTTTCACAAATATGAATACATTATAAATATACATATAAGGAGTGATTACAAAAGAATTCCCCAACTTTTAACTTTTAAAGGCTATCTCCACAACCAAACAACTTATAGCGCAATTCCACAAATCATTTCTGAAGTTTCAGTTGTTTTATAGAGAGATGTCACTATGAGCGCACTTAATCACGCTACGAGTGTGTGTTTTCAGTTCGCTTCAAACAACAAAAGGCTTGTGTTATTGAGTTTGCTAAAACTGAATCGGTTATGACTGTTCAACATGAGTATCGTCATAAATATGAAATTAAACCTATCGATTCAAAATTTTTCAACTAAAACTGAATTTATTTGTTGCTTCGTAAGTTAGCAACTAGCATATCCTCTTAAAACTTGTAAGCCTGAAGTTCACTTTAAATGTAAGAGAATGTAAAAAGTTTCAAATTTCAATAAATAGAAGAAAAAAACCTGGCAGGGGTGGGATTCGAACCCACGCCTCCGAAGAGACTGGTGCCTAAAACCAGCGCCTTAGACCGCTCGGCCACCCTACCACACAATATTCGGTTTTATCGTAGCTTCTTATCTCGTAAGCTATGGTTTTATATAACACTAAATATAAATATAGAAGTGAACATAATATCTCATTAATTTTGTCGGTAACCTCGATTGATAATCAATATCACTATAAATCAAACTGTACTGACAATCTTAATTTAATTTAATTAACGTTATCGGATCGACTGAATATCGTGAAAATTTTGTTTAAATTATTTTATCATTAATTTTTCAATGCTATAATGCATATTCAGTATAATACATGTATGATTGTTAAACATGAAATATACAGATGCATGTATTGGTATAAGAATTAGTGTACTATTAGATCTTACCATTTCTCCATAAATAACCAGATTTTCGAAAATAAATATAATACTCATACTAGGCTACTAGATTACTATTACGATGTGGAAATAGTATAAAGTATGTCGTAGACTTTTATTTTGTAGGAAAGATTATTAAAGATATCAAATTAATTATGATTTGTAAGAAAATTAATTATTAATAGGATTATTAATTATTAATTATCAAAAAATTCGAGACGGACAAATAAAGCAATACTCAAACTGTAAAGTACTATTTTTAGTGTTTTGCTCTACAACGAAATTTTTCTTTCTTCTTCCCTTATCTTCTCGTTTTGACCGTTCTGGGGTGATGGGTAAGGAAACCTTCGTCCTAACTAAACATAAGCCCCAAACAAAAATATAATAAAAGCAAAATAAAAGTAAAATAAAAATAAAGCTCGGACTTAGTTCCTTACAAAACTATATGCTTGAATCATTACATTCTTCCTTGTAATTGCTTCCTTCAAGCAAATATGTAATATGAACTTTGTGTCATATGAAAATGACACTTTTATTTAAAACCATCGCATTATACTTTTTTAAATAATAGACCTTGACAAAATAACAAATAAATAAAAAATTATTAAATTTGTGTATATAGTTTTCTTAATGAAATGCAATAGAATGAATAATTTATATCATGTTTTTGGTGTTCTTGTAATTAATCCTGCTGTCCTATGTGAGCCTGCCTGATTGACTCGTACTGTACGCTGCATATGTATATATACAGTGTACGTTATATACGTATACATAGATACACACTCCAATTCCTTATATTTTTTAAAATCGATATGAAATATTTTTTCCATTTCATTTTTTCCAGTATTTTTTTGCCATTTGCGAATTTTATTAATTTTGATAATTATTTTTATATTTTTAATAAAATATAATCAAACTTGAATTAAACTTTTATTATTTAAGACTTGTAAAATATTTATAAAATATTTATTAAGAATAAACATGTAATTTTCTATTCATTATAATTCACAATAATTATAGCGTATAAATATGCTGGTTTATCCCGCCGTCGTATTATTAATTCTCGATTTTTATCATTTTCTTTTAAATAATAACAAAGAAGGGAATACGAAGCGCTAACGTCATTAATTACGCTTTTACTAAATATAATTTTATAAAAATAATTCTCGCCAAAAATAAACTTTTTCTCCAAATTATCAGAAGTAGTTTTACTTGTATTTATCTTATAGTTACTCTAATTATAATTATGTCTGAATAGGAGCCAGAGAAAAAGAAAAAACAGACATACACTTACAATTTTCAAGAAGACTAGCAAACCCTACCACGTGTTGTTGTGACTCAAAATGTATCTATTATAAATGTATAACACTTTCCCCGTGGGGGGGGGAATTCTTCGATAAATCTCTCAGTGTACATTTCCTTGACGCACCCTATTAAAACGCAATCAAAAATGCGAAAAACCACATCCGAAATAGTATAATAGATGCCAAGTTCTTCACAGTAAGCCTTAATCCTGTCCCTCTCCCCTGCAAGGAGAATATCAAAAAATCCCTTTGTAGTGTATATTCTGTTGATGTACCCTATTAAAACACAATCAAAAACGCAAAACCCACATCTAAAATAGTATAAATAGAAGCTGAGTACTTTAAGGTAAGCCTTAATCCTGTCCATATCCCCCCGGGGGAATTGACATGTGTATTATATAAAAACACATGCGTATTCAAATGCAGCATTGTGTCAAAACTTCAAAGGAATCGGTAGGAACAAACGAACATTACATTTTTATTTATATAGATAGATAGATGATGATCTGCTTTAGTTCATTTTCAAAGAAAAGCATAATGCCTCACAGAAAAGCAAACTTATGGCGTCATACTCATAGTGCCATCTGTTGACATAAAAGCCTTAACCTAGATTATATATTTTAATTTATATGAATGTTTAACGGAATAATATACAGCCTATGTCAACCCTGAGGTTCCATTCTAAATATTGGTGACAGAATTTTTGAAATCGGATGAGTAGTTTTGGAGATTACCTGCTGCAAACAAACTTACAAACATTACCTCTTTATAATATTAGTATAGATTGGGAAGAAAATTATTTNTTATCCGCTTTAGTAACACCAGTAATGGTTAAAGAAGTCGCTCCTGTTCTTGATATATTCCAATGACGTCTTTGGGATGTTCTCACATCGAGCACAACTGGTTCACCATTCAATAACCACTGAATAGAACTTCCTGGAGTATCAAGCGAACAAGGGATACTGAGTGTTTTCCCCAGTATCACTATTTTTTCAGGAGTTACTGTATATAGCAGACGGGGTAACATCAGGCCTTAAATAAATATAAAACTTTGTAAAAATAGTAATCACAATAAATTTTAAAATAAATTTTAATACAAAAATCATTACTATTTATTATAAATAAAATAGGAATATAATTATTATGATATATAACAATTTTACTGTATTGCTTTATGGCGATTTGTAGTTGTAAAATAGCCATTATTCTACTTTTTACAGCTGTAAAACAGGAGCTATATACATTTTAGAAATCGATAATGTATTGCTATTTCTTATCAGGAGAAAGAAAAGCTAACTAGTTTGTACATTCGAGTTTACAACTTCCACTAACTTTATCGACAGTATTATTTCCAGTCAATGTGTATCACAAATCTCAAATATGATGCCCTGGGAAAAGAAAACCTAGCAAAATTGGATTTTACCGACCGTAGTGATGATCAGATAGCATCCATGTTGCACACAAAGAGAAAGTCAATTGATTGACAGACGAGAAACGAATGCCCATAAGTTAGCCATAAATATCAAATATTGTATCGTTGAATTATTAATATAAAAATTCGGCTTAAATACGATAAAGCGCATTTTCTTCACGAAATGTCACCATCCGTGTCGTCTGTCTACATTTAGATTCCTCGACGTAAACAAACAGAAAAATGGCGGTTAATTTTAATGTAAAATCATCTCGTAAGAAATTTATTTATACCGATTATTGGTCAGTTCTAGAATTAGAGTTTTGTTCCAGAATTACAATTTTTAATTCTAGAACATAAAGTTCTAGAATTAGAAATTAAGAGATTGTAATTCTAGAACATAAAAGTTCTAGAATTAGAGAATTAAGGTTTTATATGATTAAAACAAAACAGAATACCCAAAACAGACTTGACAGGTGATAAATTTATTGTATGAGAAATGTTTTTGGATTTGGAGGTTCAAAATATTTCTCATTTCTCTACTTCGGTACATTTGTTTTTATTTTAAACTTGTTTGACTTTGAAAGTTTCAAATTGAAATATCAAACTTGTTATTGTTTACGAGTACAGATTTATTTATGTGGGGACCTTGGCACTCATAGCTCTGGAGGCCCCCTCCAGCAACTAACATTTGGCACTCGTAGCTTTGGAGGTTCCTTAGCAACTAACATTCCTGAAAATTCTACTATAGTTTACTACTATAATGTTTTCTACTTTAAATTCATATGCTAATTATAAATATATCTTGCTGTATTTTGTTTCCTGAATTTTTTCGTATTTCTTCCTTTTTTTTTATTTTCATGTTTATTATTTTCTTTTTGTAGAGTCTCCTGGACACATGTCCAGAATTCCTGCCCATAAATCTGGCTCTGATTGTTTAATTCTCTTGAAATTTTAGATCAGTGTTTCTCAACCTCTAACGAATTGTCGCCCCCTTCACTTTAAAATTCTGATGCCGAGAGCCAAGACTAACGCCAAATTCATACTGCATTGAATAGACTAGTGACTAGTATAATGTTATTTGTTTAATTATTGTATGATATAACAAATAAAATATCTAATTATTCTTACTATAATGCTTTACTATATTGCCAGAAAATTGTTTTTTGTCCCTCCAAAATATAAATTGTTACTAATCGCCCCCTCAACATGGAAAAAACACCCACATGGGGCAATATCGCTCTTGTTGAGAAACACTGTTTTAGATGAACAATGTGCTTTATTCTTTTCATTTTTGTGTTTTTGTTTTAAAAATATTTTACTAAATCAAGTTGTGTGTAATTCAAGAGGTATATAGAGAAATGGCATCTAGCTTCAGTTTCTCTCTAAATAAAGGGTATTAAAAATTAAGAAATAAGTCACTTAAGAAATAAGATTAAATTATTTTTAATTACATATTGACTAATTTATCATGCTGTTTTAAATAGTAAATTAGTTATAAAAATGATTAGTTATAAAAATAATGTGTAAATTTTCGACTATAAATTCGTATCTTCTATTATCAGGACTTATTATACTGGTTTTACAGATAATATTACAAAGATTAACAGAAAACAATTTTTATTTTATTTCATATACCTGTATATGAAATAAAGTATACAGGTATATGAAATAAAATAAAAATTGTTTTCTGTTAATCTTTGTAATATTATCTGTAAAACCAGTATAATAAGTCCTGATAATAGAAGATACGAATTTATAGTCGAAAATTTACATATTAATAAGAAAAAAGGACATTGAGGCAATTTAATTATAAAAATAATGTTTTGTTTTTATATCTTTCAGAAAATTATGTTACATTAGGTTCATTATTTATGTTTTTTTTTTTTTAAACCAGAGTACAGTGAAAAAATTTTAGAGACGAACTGTTAAAGACATAGATAGCTTAAATATATTTTTTCCTAAATATTCTGTGCTAAAATAGGTGCATCTTATATGCTATAAAATATAATAATAATTTTAATTTTGTTTATAAATATTTTTGTAGATTACTTTTGAAATGTGTTTCCTTTTTTTGTTCAATATTAAATTTAACAAAAGAAATTTTTAATATATTGACCTATAATATTTTCTAACAATTTAAACTTTTAAAATTGGTACTTTAAAAATTATGTTTAAATTCTTATATCATAATGAATGTGGAGAAGCTAGACCCTAAGAATCAGATGGCCATTTATCATATTTTGAGTAAGGGACTAAAATTTCTAATTACACCAGTGCTGGCAGGTTTGAAAATCATTATCAAAATACTAATTGCTGCTACTGTACCTTAACCAAGCAATTGCTAATAATTTTAGAAAGTTTTACTGAATTATTTTTAAATATCAAATTTGAAATTTTATTTGTTTATATATTATAGCGTATGATGTAAAATATATACAGAATTCTCAAAAATTAAGTAGACAAACTTTAGGTGTGATAGAGGAAATAATTGTAAATAATTTTGATCTCATAAACATGGAGTCAATTTTCATTAGTCTGATATACAAGAGATCAAAGTTAATCAAAAATAGGCTGCTTTCACAACTTTAGTGTTCTGTTGGAAAGCCAAACTTCTAATAACCCTATCTCCTTCATATGAATAATAAATGGTATTGCCCAAGTAATTGTAATTAGGCTATGCAATTGTGACAGTTTATTTTGGATAAAAACAGTGTTACTAGCATTTTGTTAATTATGAAACAGTTTGACAGGGCTGAGCTTACTAACAAGCATTTCTATTAGGACAGTATAACTTATGCTTATGAATACATGGGACATTATGCTTACAGTAACAGTAGTGTTTATAGGAATAGTAGAAAGGCATAGCAAATGTATTGTCAACAATTTCTTAACTGAAGGTGTACTCATCATTCTGTTTCTACTTCAATTCAGAGTCAATTGAAAGAAAATGGTTCATTCATAGGCAAAGTTAATGCTGGATACACCAGCCAATTTGTACATTACAACTTGAAGTATTGTAATGACTTGGAAATGATCTCTCTATTCATACCAGAGCAATTGTATTGTTATGGTACTAATATAGTAATATTGTTTATGAACTATTAATTAGTTGTAATATTATTAATAACCTCCATGTAAACTGAGGCATAATATGAAATATCATCCATGAAAATACTTCTTATTCTTTTATCAATATCACCATATACTCGTATGTATACAAATACTACTGTGAAGATTATTCTGCACAAATTGAATTTTTTATTTGTTTTTTGCCAAAGCAGATTGCATCTAGAATTCTTTTAAAATGTAATGTTTACTGATGAAACCTCTCTTCCAAAAAGGTGTACAATGCAAAATAAAAAGAAAAAAACAGTTTCATTTGGGACACATGACATTCCATGAGTAACACATCACTGTAAATATCAACAATATTTTTCAGTCATTGTGTATGCTGGCATTCTGTGATTTCCTGATCTGGCTCTATTTGTTATCTCCTTGGTTGTTTGCAACTACTTATGCTATTTTTCTTGAGGACATGTGGCCAGGATTGCTTGAAAATGTTTCTTTAGATTTGAGAACATAGTTTAAGCACATTGGTGTTCCAGCTTACTTTGAATAATTGGTTCATGAGCATCTTAACCACATTTTTAGATTTTGATGGATCAGAAGTGATAGGTTTGTAAATCCAGCTAAGGCTTCCAAATGCATCACCACTAGATTTTTCTGTGGAGTTATACGAAAACTCTAGTTTACATCAGGTTAGCTGCTTCTGACAAAATTTTTGTGTCAGTAGGAACAATTCAAGATCATTTGCCCACTTTTTGAATGTATACAAGAGTCTCTGTTAAATTGTTGGCTGTATAAAACTGTAAATGGCTTTATCATTTTGAACTTTAATCAAATGTGATTGTATCCGTATTTTCCTTTGTAATTTCTGTAACTTGTGGTTTATTTAATATAGATAAAATTGAATTTTTATATTGTGTCGTCATTTATTTCAGCCTTACACAACACCTTAATCTTTTTTGTGAGTTCATTCTATATTTATTTATTTTTTATAAGTTCATTAACATTACTAAGTTTTGCAGACTAGTGGTGGCTTCCCATCAAAACACTGAAGCTGAAAAAGCAGCCTACTTTCAGTTAACTTCTAATACCCAATATCCTGTAAACCTGTTATTTCCAAACTTTTTGAGCCACTTCCCCTTGGTTCCATAAACTTATATCCAATGCCCCCAACCCATTTTTCCTTCTGTGAGAAAGGCTGAAAATATTCTTAGAAAAACTTTTCTATGAACCTCATACTTTGTGTCCTTACAGTACATTGTTCTTCATATTTGGAAACCATTAAATATGGGTAACCCCCGTATAACACGGTGGTTTTATAGGACAGGTTCACTCTAACATAGTTCGCAAATTGGGTAAAACCCTCGTACAACATAAAATGTAATAAAGGGTGCATTCTTTTATACCTCCAAGTAACTCCACGCGAGCATTCTAATTGTTTTCGTGGCTACTTTGAATGCTCTTTCAACAAATAATCCATTTAATGGTTAAATTACACAATTGGGACCCTTCTTTTGCCACTAAAAGCTCATTTAAGAATTATAGATTCCTCCATGCGATACTATCGATAGTGCAGGCACTGCCATCTTTCTTTCACCATCGTTCCTAAATGCTTACAAATGGCAGCACACTCCCGTTGCAGAGCGACCGCTATTAACGAACGCACCCACAAACTGTTACCAGTTGATGATGCTGATGCTGAGATCATCATATAAAATGAATAATCCTCTGGTAAAATATTTACTTAAATAATAAATAAGTATTTTACCTATGAAAAAAATGAATAATAAATCTGATTTAAATAAGGATTTAACAACATGTTATTTTAATTTTTGGAACCTAACCCCCCTTTTCGCACTAGTTCTTTGTTTCGTATAACACAGATTCGCATAACATGGCAATTTTTTGGAACATAACTCCCGTGTTATGTGGGGGTTACCTGTACAATAATTCTTCCTACCTGTTTTAATGGAAGAAAGGAAAAAGTTGCCACTTACCCAAACCCTCATCTAAGTCACTGTTCAGTCAAGACCTTACCTCTAGCATCCCTTGCCACTCCTTGCATCTTTTTTTGCCCCTTATATTTATTCATTGTATCTCTGGGTACAGTAGCACTGACTTTGGAAACCACTACTGTAAACTAACACAAATTGCTTTCTTGTTTAAGGTCAAAATTGTTTATAATAACTTTCTCTACATTCCTCTGGGTTTGTTATATAATTTTTGAGCATGTGTATTGCTTTATATGTGTAATTGCTTTAATGGAAAATTTTATAGTATTTATTTTTTATTTTTTGTAATTTCATAATAAGCAGAGAGAATCATTATACATAATTGCACTTTAAAGCCAGTATAATACTACAGTGTAAAGCCATATGTATTTTGTTTTCCATTATTTTGTAAGGCATTTTGTAATAGCAATATTATTATTTGTTTAAAAAATATATTCAATGTAGTTTTCTAATATTGGAGAGTAAAATTAGTTATTTGCAGAATTATAAACTATTTTTTATTAACATACATGTGCATGAGGATTGATTTATATGTATATAGATATAAGTTAATTCAATGTCTGTTTTAATTTTTTAAAATTACATTATAGCAAAAATATGTGAAATGAGACCTATAATATAAAAATTGAGTTATTTTTATAATATAAGATAAAAATTATATAAAAATATAACATGAACATTTAATTTTGGCTTTGTTGAGAAAATGGAATTGATATTTGATGACAGATTTGAAAAAGTTTCATACTTTAAATATTTTTAAAGTTTATATCATACTTTTTTATTTAGGATTTAAAAAAACATGGGATAAATTCATCAAAATAATTTAAATATAACTAGAAGCAATGTCATCATAGTGTTATCTAAAGATACCTATCTATTTAAAATAGTTGCACATTTAGAATTGATTTTTTTTTTATGAATAGAATATATAATATTAGTGAATTCAATATGTTCAATATAAAAAAAAAAATGCATTTATGACATAAAAAACATTTATAAGTTATTTATGTTTTATTGAACATTATTAAATGTTAAGTTATTTATATAAATATCAAAAACTGTTAGTTTTTCATTATAAAAATAAAATAAAATTTTACAGTTGATTATATTGAGAATTATCTAATTTTATACAGAGTAGTCTACAATAGTATGTTACATTACCAGTAATATGTTACATTATTAGAAGAAAAATGGAAAATATTTTAATATTATCAAAACTCTTATGTATATTACAAATTTAATATCACTAACCTATTTATTCATAAAATGACAGATTAATATTTATACATTTAAACTTCAATGTTAAATTCAAATTATTATTCTGGTTCTAGTACCAGAATAATAATTTGAATTTGTTTTTGTTTTCCTATTTGAATTAATTTTGTTTTATTACAAACAGTAGTCAAAAATAAAAATTTTCATTTTTTCACTTTTTTTTTAATTAAATTGAACAAATTCCTGACCAGCTATGTTATCATTAATAGAAAATGTCCAAATTTTTAATACAAATAATGTAATTTTAAGTGCATCATTTGTACTGTTTTTCAGTTCAATTGAATATATAAAATTAAATGTTTGTATAATAACTTTGTAAATTTTATACAAGTACTCTTATAACTGCTGTAAATTATCGGGCTATATTTTGGATATATAATTATAATATTTTATTAATTAATTTAGATTAAACTGGAAGAAAAGAATCGGCCCAAAGTGGGACTTGCAATGTATTTCATTTTTTTATAAGTATCAGTAATATTGACAAACTTAAACATTAGTTTTAGAAATCTAGATAATGTCTTATTGATTGATTACAATAAAATTCTGTTGGGCTTGATCAAGCAGATAGATTGCAGTCAATAGAAGATTGAATAAGGAAATTAATAAAAATACCTAGGATGGTTTTAATGTTTGATATTTCTTTTTATTTTGTGTAGAACATAGCAAGCCATCTACTGAAATTTTTTTTATAAATTTTATAATTTAATTATGATATAATTTAATTATGATAACCATATTTCTATTTTTATATTACAAAGACATATACTGTATTTATAATAACTTGGTAACATGAAATAGCTTGATATTATCCATCTGTCTGAATCTATTACTATTTAGTTTTTTATTTTGCAATTACAGACTTTAAAAATAAAAATAAAATTTAATATAAAAAATTGAAGAATTCCTAATATGAATATAAATAGAAAAAGATATACAATATTGAAATACAAAATTTGTACCCACAGGCCATACAGTGGGTACTTGTGGGTACAGTTTGCCATCAAAGTTCTATGGCAATTGAACTTTGATGAATATTATACTTTGATAATATTATGTTATTGTTGAATATTCATAAAATTTATTTTTATAATTATTGGGGCTATTAATATATTTAATATAAAGTTGTGGTAATGTCATGATAAATTTATATATCTTAATATAATAGACATATACTGTATTTATAATAACTTGGTAACATGAAATAGCTTGATATTATCCATCTGTCTGAATCTATTACTATTTAGTTTTTTATTTTGCAATTACAGACTTTAAAAATAAAAATAAAATTTAATATAAAAAATTGAAGAATTCCTAATATGAATATAAATAGAAAAAGATATACAATATTGAAATACAAAATTTGTACCCACAGGCCATACAGTGGGTACTTGTGGGTACAGTTTGCCATCAAAGTTCTATGGCAATTGAACTTTGATGAATATTATACTTTGATAATATTATGTTATTGTTGAATATTCATAAAATTTATTTTTATAATTATTGGGGCTATTAATATATTTAATATAAAGTTGTGGTAATGTCATGATAAATTTATATATCTTAATATAATAGACATATACTGTATTTATAATAACTTGGTAACATGAAATAGCTTGATATTATCCATCTGTCTGAATCTATTACTATTTAGTTTTTTATTTTGCAATTACAGACTTTAAAAATAAAAATAAAATTTAATATAAAAAATTGAAGAATTCCTAATATGAATATAAATAGAAAAAGATATACAATATTGAAATACAAAATTTGTACCCACAGGCCATACAGTGGGTACTTGTGGGTACAGTTTGCCATCAAAGTTCTATGGCAATTGAACTTTGATGAATATTATACTTTGATAATATTATGTTATTGTTGAATATTCATAAAATTTATTTTTATAATTATTGGGGCTATTAATATATTTAATATAAAGTTGTGGTAATGTCATGATAAATTTATATATCTTAATATAATAGACATATACTGTATTTATAATAACTTGGTAACATGAAATAGCTTGATATTATCCATCTGTCTGAATCTATTACTATTTAGTTTTTTATTTTGCAATTACAGACTTTAAAAATAAAAATAAAATTTAATATAAAAAATTGAAGAATTCCTAATATGAATATAAATAGAAAAAGATATACAATATTGAATTTATTATTATAAAGTATATTAAACCTTTTTCCATTTCTCCTGTTGAAAATATAAATGTGAAATAAATTTATCTTATTCTTTGCTTTATGCAAAAGAAATTAATAAAATGTTTTAATATTTTCAGATAGAATTAGCTTAATTCAAAATGATAGCAAATGCTGGAATTTCAAGATCAGGTCGTGTTAGAAAGAAATCAGCAAAATTAATTGAAATGGAAGACTGGGATTCTGGTGATGGAGAAAATTACAACAAGCCTCGCAAAAAATCAAAATCATTTGATGATTCTGACCAAGATAGTGAACGTAAGGTAGCTCCAATAAGAATACCTAAACCCCCATTTACTTTGATGTCGCCTCAAAAAAAGAAATCTGATAATTTAACAATGAACAAAATTCTACCTATGAAAATAATATCAAGAGATGGTACACCAGTTGAAGTAAAAAGTAGTACTTCTTATGGAATGAATATTCCATCTATGTCTACAGTTTTGACACCAAAAATGCAAGGTTAGAATTTAATTAAATTTTAACTCAGTATCCTTCTTTTAAAACACTTCTTATTTATTGTTAATTTATGATGTATTATATACAGTATATATGATGGATTCATATACAGTGGGTGATCGGTTAATGAACATAATCCATTCCAAGGCTTTGTTCACTATCCGAATTGTTCGTTAACCGATTATTGATTTACCATAAGTTTTAATGGGAATTTAATTAATTCGTTCTGGAGACCCCCAAAAATAAAAAATATATACTTTCTTACTACATTTATTTATATGTAATAATAAAAATACATAAATACACAGTCTTGCGTTTTTATTAGTCATGTTTTTCCATTTGAAAGGGTTAAAGAATCTCTCTAATATCGATTGCTTTTCTCTCTTCTTCAGGATTTTTCGTAAGTAATTAATAGCATTGTAATTTTAGAGATCCCAAGCCTCAACCTGGTTTGGATGCCATTCTAAGACTGTTGTTCTGACATCCTCCCACTTCAAAGGATCTTTAATAACAGATATCGGCATTAATCCTTTTTTTCAGAAGAAAACGTATCTTGCTGAGTTTCTTGGTGTTCTTCATTCAAGAGTTCTTGGCGTTCTTCTGTCGTCAGATCTGTTTCAGGTTCCATTACGAACTCTTTGATGTTCTTTATTTCTCAGAAGTGATTTTTGTTACTGCTTTAGCTGCTGGAGTCTTCTTGATTATACAGTATTTTTCNAGGCGTTCTTCTGTCGTCAGATCTGTTTCAGGTTCCATTACGAACTCTTTGATGTTCTTTATTTCTCAGAAGTGATTTTTGTTACTGCTTTAGCTGCTGGAGTCTTCTTGATTATACAGTATTTTTCTTAAATAAGATTGAACTGAGGCCTACTGTAGACCTGTTCACGCCATATTGCCCAGCAACATTAGGCATCTTCTGCCCACTCTCTATCTTTGCTATTATACTCTCACCTTTCGAAAAGAAAAACAGACGCAAAACTTAACAAGTACCTACCCGACAGTCTTGCAAATACACAAAAGAATTGTTTTGTCAGAAAAATAAAAGGCTGGAATTACAAGGGAGAGTTTCAAAGTTCGGAGGAATACTATCCGATCAGTATATACCGGCTTGAGCGTCAATGTCGACGTCTGCCACACTCCGAAAAGTTTTGAATTGTTGCCCGAAGACAAGAGAAGACCAATCGGTAGTCATTATTTTATGTCGTTTCTTCTTGTGTTTGTTCTGTGGGGTGTTCGTTATCCGATTTGTTCATTATCTGATCACCCACTGTATTTGTGATCTTAACTATGTTAGAGAAAAAATTTTGAAAATTTTACTTTTAGTATAATCTCTGTAGATATTTAATATAAAATTAAGAAGATGATAATAAATTTGCCTATTAAAAAGTTATTTTCAACCATTGTAAATCTCTTAGTTGCATTTTTTATATTCTTTTAGGAAAGTTAATCCAATCCTGCTAAATTTCTTTAAGATAAGCAAATTTCTTGCATGCACACAATGATTTTAAAGACTTTTTACAAATATTTAATTATTGCATGATAAGAAACTTATCAGTATCCTGTTTTTTTTTTATTTTTGTTATAACCATGCATTATTAAAAAGATTCTGTTTATGTATAAGTCTATGAAATTTGTTTAGTATATTTATTGGAAGTTTTTAAAATTATAAGTAATGATTTCACTTCTGTCAGAGTTAAGACATGAACATAAATTTGCATGTCAGTGAATTTGCAATAGCAACCAGCTAATATTGCTGGTGAATCATCTAAAAGTTTTTCTTAGAGAAAGTATTATACATGTTTAAAATAAAATTATTTAGGATAAATTATTTATTTTCAAAGAGTCATATACTCTAATGATGATTTTTAACTTTAAGTTTAAATATAATNAAATGAAATTTGATCTTCAGAAATATTAAAATTAATAACATAGATTAATAAAAATTCTTTAATTACTTTTAGAAGTCTTTATGATAAAAATATTTATTCAAGATAAACATCTTTAGAATTGAACATTCCAATATCAAATTCTTACTTCACATTTAAATATAAATTAAAATAAAGCATAAACTGAAATATTGAACTCTTAAAAATGATCATTGTGAGTAAATAATTTTATCATCCAAACTTACATAAATAAAATACTTAGCATCATTTTTATTTAACAAAAAATTACTTATCTGTTATTCAAATGAGTCAATAAGAGTATTGATTAGGGTTGAGCTATACCAAAATTTTGATATTGATATTGGGCTTGATATCAAGATTACTTTAATATATCAATATGCTAAAATCTAGAATATCAATATAATAAACATATATTGATTTCAGTTTGATATATTGGTTATCAGCACAGTGCTAGTATTGATGAATTATTCTACTTACAAAATTGGTTCTTTTAAAAAATGCATTTGAAAAAAGTCCATAAAAAATTGTGCACAATAAAATCCACTGTCATATATGCAAACATAAAAAATTACTTACATGGAAAAAATGCCATACAGAAAATTACTTACACTGAAAAATACACATATACAGTAATTTTCATATAAGGCTGAAGATTTATATATAGTTTCAAGTACCATAGATATTTATAATTGTAGATAACCATTCATCTCCCATTTATTAGAATAAATAAATTATATATCTTGCAGACCATATGACTTTTCAGTTGAACAGTAACATATTGCCAATGTATATGTGACAGTTAATAAATTAAATGCAGAAAATTTACTATTTGAAACATACAAATGCTATTTATTTCTAGAAAACAAATATTCCTAAATCTTTCATTTTCTTGAACTTATTATCAGCAATTGTGAATTTTGACACCTCTAGCAATATCAAATTTACAAATTATTAACCAATATAACAATGTATATGTGTTATGTGCAACAAAATGGAAATAGAGTTAGATATCAAATTAACTTGTTTACATAATGATCTGGAATAAATTAGGTTGTTTAATAAATTTATGAATTTTTATGTATATTCATTTATATATACAGTATATCTGTAAAAATGGATATATACTTTTGAAATTATAATATGATTTTTTTGGATAACTACAGATAATATAAATTAATCAATCCAGTTAATTTGTCTTATTTAATGTATTTTAAAAGATTTTAAAATTGTTTATCTTTTTTAGTTCTTTCATCTACAAGTTCTGAAACAAGTGATTCCAGTTCTGATGAATCCGATTCAGATAATGCTTTCCCTCGATCTCCTATTCTTCCAGTAAATTTGCAATCACATGATATGATAAAGAAAAAAATGTCTACTGGTCAGAATATATCCAAACAAATGCCTGCAAAGAAAGTTGAAGTAAAGCTGGTGAGTTTTTTCTTTTCTAAAATATTTGTTAAAATAATTATAGTTAATGTTGTGATTGTAGTAATTAAAACTATTACCTTATTAACACAGTTTTGCTTGAAAATATTCCTCCCTTTTATTATATGAAACTTTGTTTTATCAGATATTTTAACCAAGAAATTATCAGTTGAGATATACTTGAAAATTAACCTAATGTAATTAAAAAGCAGTTGATTATTTCTCCTTTTAATGTTGTTCATACGAATTTTATGTTAAACCTGCCATCTTTTTCGTACATATTATAAAATTAGTAATAATTCACAACTCTAGTTTTCACTGGTTTATATTAATAGTAATCTACTGTTTTTTATTTTAAATTTATAGTAATCTACTTTTATTCTAAAGTAGGTAGCCTGATAGTTCAATTAACAGTTAACTTTCTTAAAATTAAACTTTTAAATTTTTAAAAATCAGGCAAATTTATAAAACAAAATTTAATGAAATTACTAAAAAAATAAAAATAAAAATTTGATTATCTTTTGTGTGAAACAATATTAAAACATTTGTATAGTTATGTTACAAAAGAAAAATAGTTGAAATTACTTTAAAAAATTGTAATTAAGGGTTCAAAAAATGCAGGAGAAATTAATGCAAAATAAAATAAATAATTATTAAAAGTTACGTAAAAAATAAAACTAAATATGCATATCTGTGTTTTATATATGACCAAAGGCTATTATTCAAAAATCAAACTTAAAGAATAGTTGCTACAGGAGCAAACAAATAGTTGTCTCTTCAGCTTCAAGCCTAAGTGAAAAGTGAAGGCTTTGTGTCACCTATTGCTAAAGAAAAACATTCCTTCCCCTTTGTTAACCTTTCCACGAATTCATGCTGAGTCCACAGAAGAAGTTAATGGGTGGTCTTTTTGTGTAACAAATTGTAGACCCCACCTGTGACCTGGTGTGACCTACTTACACATTGCTTCTTTGAAAAGTGTTGGTTTCAGTTTTGGTGGGGATGGAACATTTTGCTTTCAATATATATTCAAATTTTATTATTTAATATAAAGTATACTGACATAATATATCCCATCAAAATTTCTCTTTAAAAAAACCCTTGTATTCTATCAATAATTATAAAAATACAGTCTCTCTTTGAAATACAATGAAATTATATTATGAAAAACACATTGTAAGCTAAAAATATTGCAAGTCAAAAATAAATAAACAGAAAAAATAGGTTATATACAAGGTTATACAGTATATAACATTGCATATTGTATCATAAAGTGAACATAAAAAAAGGAAAGAAAGAATAAATGTACAGAAGTATTTTATACTAATGCTATACAGACAGTAATCTTTCAAATATCATAACATCCACCAGAAAAGTATGCAATAATATAAAACCATAAAAAAAAATTACAGGAGTTGCTGGATGAAGGAGATGCTCAACAGGACTTTTGATATCGTCTTGTGAAACACAGGAATAACTGGTAGAAGGCACTGGTTCATCTCTTGGGTTAACTTTTTCATAAAGATATCAATCTTAGACAGGACTGTTTGTTTCTTCTTTTCACTATAAATTTCTCTGTGGCAAGCAAGTGCATCTTAAATTGGTCTGTCAATACTTGGAAAATCATTCATAATTGAAATCCATCTCTTCTAACATTTATAGTCTGTTACCAATTGTTGAAAATGCCTCAGCCAATTTCTTTGCTGTAAACGTTTTTGGTGTTTCTTTTTTCTCGTCTACAGCTGCTTTTTTCTTCTCTTTCAGTTCAATGAGCTCTTCATTAGTAAGCTCTTCAGACTTAGCATTAACAAACCAATGAATGTCCTTTGTCTCAGTGTTGAGATTAAGCTGCTTGTTGAGAATTAAATTTTTGTTGTAGATAATATCACCAACTGCAGAATATTTATCATATCCTTTGAAGGTGCAAACACGTTTTCAGAATTTTCTTCCAAATACCATTCATGCATTGCTCAGTTACTGCTTCCCATGCCACAGCAATATTCTTGATAGAATCTAGGATATTGTAGCCTTTCCAAAACTTTCATAATGTTTGGCTGATTCAGTTCCTTCAACTGTTTGGGCAAATGTACAGCATAAATAGTATGCTTTGAACACAGCTGTAGCACTTTGATTCATTTGCTGTATTGATGCAGTTGTATTTGGTGATAAATAAATCATTTTGACATCTGGATGCCTGTTACTGATATGATATGGATAACTTGGAGCAATATCTAAAATCAAAAGAATTTTGAACAGGATAGTTTTTCCTGTAGCATTCTTTTGCTGCTGGAATGAAACAGTCTAAAAACCAATCTTCAAACAGCTGTAATGTCATCAAGCCTTCTTATTATGCTGATAATGCACAGAAAGCATATGTTTGCTAATATTTTGAAATCTTGAGGATTCTCAGAGTGGTAAATGAAGACAGACTTTAACTTAAAACCTGCTGCTACATTACAAAGTAGCATGTCATGAACTTTGAATGCTTTGAAACCAGGCATTATCTTGGACTTGAATGTAAGTATGCTCAGGCATACATTTCAAGAATAAACTGGTTTCATATGCATTAAATATTTATTGTCAAATATTTTCAACAGTTATATGATGTGTCTTACCCTTAAACAATTTGGCACCTTCCTTATCATGCTTTCATCTTCACCACTGATCTTTCTTTACGTTATGAAAACAGGCCTTTTGAAGCATTCCAACCATCCATGGCTTGCTGTAAACTCCTACTTGTATGTAGGATCATCATGTTGAGCTTTAAGAGTCTCAAAAAGGCTTCTTGCTTTAGCCTGGATTATCAGTAAACTAAGCAGTACATGTTTTTAGTGATATAGTGGATGCATGTTTTGTAGATGCTGCAGATTTCACAGCATCGCTTATTCACTTTTTTTTTCCATATTGTCAAGATTGTTGATTACAATAGCCCAAACTCACAGCAACCACAATAATTGCCATGCTACCTTCAAGCTTAGATATTATCTTCAGTTTCTTATTGAGAGTGATAGTCTTCCTCTTATTCTCACTAGTAGCAGGAAATACAGTGGTGCATTTTGCAGACATAATGGGTATATTGTAAAACACAAGACTATATAAGATGGTATATATTATTATTATTATTTATATATATATATATATATATATATATATACACTAACTTATATATCTACAGACACACACACAATCTTGAGAAAGATCACTAATGCATCAGTAGATTATTTTGGATTCAAATTTGTAATTGTTTTCTCATACTTCCATTTTACTCACATTGGCCATCATGTATGAAATACTGTATGTGAAAACATCATATATCAAGCAGTATTTGTACATTTTTTGCAGCAACAACAAAAACACATTTCTAAACAGAATGAGTATTCTGGACGCTGAACTGTATAATTATCATTCAATTTTCACATTTTTGTTAAGTCAAGCATCTTGATCTGTGCTTCATTTAATGTACTGAAATGTTGTTTTGTTTACTTACTATTACCCAATTATTTTCAAATTAAAAATATGTAAAATTCACAAAATTTCAAAATACTGTAGAGCGTCGTTTATCCGAAGATCGGTTATCCGAAGGAATTCCAGTCGACAAATTTAAATTTTCGCCAGTGCTGTGGCGCTGTAATCTTCGGCTATGTCTTCGGCTACTCAAATATTTTACGTTTTTGATACTAAATTAACTTCTGAAGTATAATTTTTTATTGTTTTTATATTTTTCNAATAATAAAAAAATGCTTGCAAATTTTACTTTTAACTTTTTAATCTATATCACAAAATAACAATAAACTCTATATAAGTGTACAAGAAAATAATAATGTGATTATAATGGAAACAAATATTTTATTTAATGGGAGATCTATTGCTGTTTATATGATGATTTTTTATCTTAGGTTTATAATTACTGGCTTTTAAGACTTTTTGAGACAGATTTAGGATTCTGCTTTCACACTACATATGCAGTTTTGAAATTTATGAAATCTTAATACTTTCTGAATTTTTAGTGTGATTATCTTGAAAATGTTATGCAGGTTATTGTGTGAATTGGCAGTTACAGCATGAACGTAAGAAGTTACTCATCCACAGACTTGATCCTGGGTCCCTGGAATGTCGTGGCCATTTAGTGGTTGAACTTGTAACTTTGAGACCACTTTGAAGGATTTCTAAACTTTTCTTTGTAATTTTTACATTTATCTGCTTTTTCTTTTAAATGTTTTTGAAACAAATAAATGAACATAACATGCATACTCATTTTTGCAAACAGTTCTGCTGGATTTGTGGCAAATCATTTGATTATTTGATTATATTCTGAATCAGCATGCAATTTTTTACAATTTAGATTCTTTTCAACTTTTTGCAATGCAAAATGTCAAATTGACTTAAAAATTGTGTTGTGCAAGCTGTAATGTTTGTATTGTAGATATGACAACAAAACTAAGATACTTGTATTTTATCTTTATGATTTGTAAAGATAAAATAAAACTATCTAAGCAGGTTATCTTTATTAATTATGTTTTGTTTTCTTACATCTATTAATAATGCTTTAATTCATGACTAATAGTTTCTCTTTAATGCTGTTAAAACATACAAACTTTAGACTCATACATGTTGAGTTTTAGGTCAACTATTGAGTCTGAATAAATGTGAAAAGATCTGCTGAGTCTAGTACTTAGAACTAAAAATTTGTACCCACAGGCCATACAGTGGGTACTTGTGGGTACAGTTTGCCATCAAAGTTCTATGGCAATTGAACTTTGATGAATATTATACTTTGATAATATTATGTTATTGTTGAATATTCATAAAATTTATTTTTATAATTATTGGGGCTATTAATATATTTAATATAAAGTTGTGGTAATGTCATGATAAATTTATATATCTTAATATAATAGACATATACTGTATTTATAATAACTTGGTAACATGAAATAGCTTGATATTATCCATCTGTCTGAATCTATTACTATTTAGTTTTTTATTTTGCAATTACAGACTTTAAA